TCGTATAGCTTCGATGTAGTTTTGTATGACGAAAGCCAAAACCCCAAGGCCCAACAAACAATGGAACAAACCCTTAAACAAAAATATCCTGCCATGTGCGGTCTCTGTACCTTCTCCGACCCCGGCTTGCGGGTGAGGTTGAAGGCCTGGCCCATTTGTTTCAGGTCGCCTCTGAAGCCCACAGGAATAAAGTAGTATACCTGAACAGGGAGGATTGGGGTCTTATACACTACAACATTTGCTGAGATCGCGGGCTTGTGATTTAGGGCTGGTTTAAATCCCAAGCACCTCCTTGCCCACCAGCAGACCTTCTGCGCTCAGTTTGTTGAAGTCGGCCACAATAGCTGAATTCAGGGTCTGAAGTGTTATATTCGTCTTGCTCTGAATGAGGTAGCTCTGCACCAACAAAGAATACATGATGTAGCGGGAGGCTTTGGAGTCCGTGCGGCATTCGGAGAGGTCAGGTGTCCTAGAATATTGGTTTATGGGCAATCAAGGATTCGAGAAACCCTGCTAGCACCCCATAGCTTGTGCATTATAACTATACAGGAAAATTTGCAGAACAAGCCAAAGTTCCACGAAGCCAGCATCCATGAAGTACGGTTGAGGGTCGCTTCATCACCCCAGATCATTATAGGAATGGCCCGACGGTACAAATCAGGGCGGCCATCCAACACAGGAATATACAATTCCTGCAATGTTTGGTCCCAGTACTCCTCCAGGGCAGCTCTGTCCGGGATCATCGTGTTCAAGAACCCCTCTTGCACAAGGCACCGTGCCTTGGATCAGGTTCTTGGGTTATATTAGCTTTTATGTGTGTTCAGCGGTTCAGCATTTGATGGCCGTCACAACTAAAGTTGGAAGAACTGCTAATGTAATCGAGAAGCAAGGTTGGAAGGAAGAATAATTGGGAAGGCTTCTATGGTCTCTTCTTCCTCGTTTTGTGTTGCTGGAGCATTAATCCACGTCAGCTCACAGTCGAAAGCCAGCCCAGTTCCAGACAGTCGCGAATGAAACTCGGCCTCTCGTAGAGGCCTGCTGCTGTATCCATCCAATAGCCGAGACCCGTAGGCATCTCCTTAAGCTGTGGTTTGGGATTTGGGATTTATTTGCTATCTATATGTATATAGAGGGATACCGTGCTTATATTCGGCGGGTTGTGTTACAACTATAGAACCCCAGCAATATTGGCAAGTCACCCAAGTCACAGGCCACTGTCAAAGTCGTGTCACCAGCACACGTAGCTCGAACCAGCCTTGGGCAGGGAGCTTTCGGATTCTAGTTTCGGTCTAAGTGGGCTTTAATTTGAATCATGCAATGAAGAATTACAGGTGTATGGACATATGGAGTTTGGGGTTATGGATTTGGGTATTCAAAATCAAGGCGCTTCTCATCGAGGACATCAGCCACCTTCGGCGGCTCGGCAGCCTTCTTGGCACCTGCACACGTCGCACTTGATCGGATTTGGGGATTGGAGACCAAGCGGGATGCTCGCAGTAGTCAGTATAGAGCTTTCGAAAGGATTGTTTTGGCCCCAACGCTTTGCTTGGTTCGAGATTGCCTGCATGCAGCCATAACTACAAATGCAAGCGGCAAATTGGCATGTGGAGCATCCTGCACCTGTTTGGTGCACGGCCTCACACTCCAAGCCCCGGTAGCCCCTTGCGCTATGGAGGTTCTCCGCAAAGTTTTGCAGAGGTTCCCCTAGCAAGAGGATCCCACATATGCAAGTCGTACACATTGACGAGCCCAAGACCCTGCTAAGTAGTAAGGATTATATAAGTGCCGGAAGGATCAATGAAACCGTAGGCCCCAACTTCTATCAACATCCCGAAATCTGCGATCTTCAGTGCTGCTCTATATAATCAGCAAATGCACGACCACATACATTGTAACTCTTCGAAGGAAACGATGTGGTTCCTGGGTAGAGACCACATCCTCATTGCTATCACCGGTGCACTGCGAAGATAGACATCGTAAAAGGGCCCAGGCAGTAACAGGATTTGGGGCAGCAGAGTTTTAAGTTCGTAACGATATGCACCAGCAATCACCCGGAGAATCATATCAGGCAGCCCTCTTCTGGAGCTCCTTCAGCAGGCCTTTGATTTGCCCTTTGCACAAAGAAAGCTTTTGAACCTTGGCTCCCAAGCACCCGAAGCACACTAAGCCCAAAGAAAAAAGTCGCAATCGACAAACCAAAACACAACACTCATCGATATCCAAGGAAACTTCATCGTGGATAGCGTCGCACTGGCCATCCATTTCCTCGGCTTGGGCATCTGGGTCCAATTTGTTGAACCTCGGTGCAATCAAGATGACATGAAGGTGTGGATATGGGGTAGAAATCAGCTAATTTAGACTGGTTGCTTCCTCGCGAGCATTTCGAGCCTCTTCTTGTGACCCTTGAGGTCCTTGAGCAGCCTCTGGGAATCATCATCAGAAGCATCCCCCATATCAAAGATCAGGTCCGTGATGCCATTCACACTCTTCTTGAGCTCCTTGCCTTGCATTTGACAACCAGAACACCGCCACTGACTATGACAACGACAATGCAAGAGAATCTTAAAGTGCAACCTAGCAGCACCACTTTGCATGCTTGTCTTTGGAGCACTTGAAAACCTCATTGATCAAGGAGCTTGCTTTAACAGTGGTCGCCGTAGATCCTGCAACCGACCCCGCTCGTCGTGACGTGGCTTTCGCTGCCGGCCGTCTCTGATTGCGTCCAGCACCTCACTGGGTTCAGGATGTAGGCCCCTAGATATGGAATCAAAACATATCAAAACCATATCTCGCTGTCTCTCACTCTCTCTCTCTCTCTCTCTCTCGGTCTATCTTCGGGTGCTATGGTCTTTGTGGAATGTTACAATATCTCGAGGTTTGGGTAACACTTGAAATATTCGGTCCCCACCTGCTCCACTTGCCTCCTGCAGTGCGAGCTGACTCAACTCGTCCTTGCGCTTGTCGAAAGCCCTCAGGACATCGGCCTTCAGCGGCGCTTGCTGGGTCGTGGCAGCCTTCTTATTGAGGAGGCCCGGATCGGCACCAGGAATAGGAGCATCAAAGAATTGTGATCCCGGACGACAGTTCGCTTTGAAGTTCTGCTTCAGCCTTCAGTGACTAGACAGAATACAACAAGCAGGCCTGCACATGTTCATGCTAAACATCCAATGCAAGCCGTGCTCCTGTACTCGGTGCTTTCCACCTGGGTGCGGCCCACTATACACCAGTATAAGGTGTCAGGAAGAGAATCTGGCGCTTGTTCATCACGTTCCCCCACTTGCGTTGCAATTATGTGTTGTATTTTCTGCCTTAGCTGCAGATTGCAAACATGGTGAAAGGAGACAGAATGTAGAGCTTGAGCGAATCGTTATAATTTGCTGCCGAAGTACTCGCTAAAGTAGTGGGGCTTTCTGTGCATGTTCTTCACAGGGATCTGCATCCAGACTTTCTCGCCACGCACACCGGACTCCTGCGAAACCTCGATGGCGCTCTCGCAAGCCTGCAAGTTCTGGCCCGAAAGCACCCAGTTGCGCAACAGCTTGCGCTTCTCCTCAGCACAACCACCGATCATTCGAGCCATGTTGGTCGATCACGACACACACAAACACAGACACTTGCACCCACCCACACACACACACACTTAAGTAGACCTCTCTCTCTCTCTCTCTTGCTCTCGGCACTCACCCTATGTCTCTCTGACTCTCTGCTAAAGTTGAACTATGCCATAAAGTAGGAAATTAGAAAAAACCTAATCGAGTTTAGATGAAGTGTCAATACAGATATAATGTTGTTAAATTACATAGGCTAAAGTAGTCAGGCCAAGATATAATTTGGCGAGCGACATCCAGGGTGCCCTCCTGCAACGCCAGCATGCTCGGGTAGTTGGCCAGTGCTCCAGCATCGTGCAATCGGTTCTTAGCAGATATAATAGGCACACCTTCTAATGCTTGTCGGGGGAGAAATATTCAGGGATCTATTCAGCAAAGCGGCGAGTTTGGCATATTCTTTTCGGTGCGTAGCAGATGAAATCCTCTCAGACGGCTCCTCCAGCTTGACATCTGACCCATCCGTTGGCATCTCCGTTGGTCTTGGAACCGGCTGGGCTTGAGTCTTGATCTTTAAGTCGTTCAGACAGGCGGGAAGAGCATGGTTCGCTGGGGCAGGCGACGGCGAATCGTGGAACACATGCACCTTGGCCCTGACAGGCGTAGCCACAGGCTTTGATGCAGCGGGTTCTTTCGAAGCGTCTTCGGGCACGGGGTCCTTTGTTTCCGAAGTGGTACTTTTCGAGTCGCTGCTGAGCTGCGACTGAAGTTCGGCCTTTTCCAGTTCCAACTGCTGCACACGCTGCAACAGCACGCTCATGTCAAGTGCACTTGCAACTTGGCTTGCCGAGGGCCCGAGATCGCTGAGATTCGTCTGGGAGTCCTGGCGGTCCTTGTTGGTGAGGCGGCTTGCGTGCAGCCTGGCTTGACTGTCCACAAAGGTACTACCAGACCTCAGACGCGATTGTGCATGTGATTAAATTGATCGCAACGGAAGTTGAGTATGTGAGACATCATGTATACATTGCAATCAAAGCACACTTGGCTATCATTCGCATCACCACGGGGCGGCTCCGGCCCAGGCAGTGCCAGCAGGCACTGTGCATCCGGCCCCGACTTAACTGCTGGCACAGGAGTCACGGGAGCAGAATTTCTGTGAGCCTTCAAAGCAGCGTCCAGCTCACTCTGTTGAGGAAGTCCTTGTCTCCATAGGTCGTACTCATAGCAGAGCTCATCCCAATCCTTGAAAAGGGCACTGTCCTCGTCGTCTTCCTCCGGGTTGGGGTTCTCGGGGATCTGGTCTGCTTCTGCGTCTTCGGGGATCTGGTCTGCTTCTGCGTCTTCGGGGATCTGGTCTGCTTGTGTGTCTTCGGGGATCTGGTTTGCTGCACCAGTCTTACCTCTCAGTCGCTTGGACGGCGCCTCGAGCACCTCAGCCTCAGGTTCATGCACAAAAGCTCCTTTGCGCTTCAATGGTGGAGGAGCCTTGGCTTTAGAAGCTTTGGCTTTCGGAGCCACAGAGCTTCTCTTGCCAGTGTCCACAGAATCGACTGGAGCTTCAGACGGGGGCTGCTTTCTGGATTTCTTACCGGCTTCCTTGGCTGGGGGCTGCTTTCCGGATTTCTTATCGGCTTCCTCGGCTTTGGTCTTCTTGCGCTTCGGCTGGGGTTCATCGGCTTCGGCCGGGGCTGCTGACTCACCTGCTGAGGAGTTCGTGTTGGCTTTCTCGGCTTTCTTGGGCTTCTTGGAAGGCTTCTTCGCCAGGGACTCATTGAAAGCAAGGAAAACAGTAACGGCATCAGGGTAGCTGAGCTTCTCTTTCTTCATCATGTCACCCAATGTCATATCCGCCACTCCCACTGGCGTTGTAAGTGGGATGCTGGGGGGCCTCCATTTGGAGGAACTGGAAGGTGCAGCTGTTTTGTGATCCCGCAATGCTTCCTTGTACTTCAAGCCACGATCCAGAGCCTGTTTCGTGGCCTTCATGATAGAGCTGACTAAAAGATCTTCCTGCCTTCTGCAGGGAGCTATAGACGGCTTCGCGGCAGTGTTCGATGCTGTAGATTTGTAAAAAGCACAGATTCCACGCGATTTAACGGTCAAGTGGCCTGGATTTAACGTACATTGGCACATTTTCCACGCGACGACTTTTGCTGTGGATTGAAAGATCCTAGCTAGTCCGAATTAGTGGCATTGCCCCAATCCAAGCAAAGCAGCTCTATAACTCGATCTATATATGTATACAGCTAGCTAGGTATAATGAGGGACAATTGAATGCAGGGATTGTGCATGGGAATTCCACACAAACAGCCGGACTATACAAGCCGACCATCTAATTGAGGATTCCAGCTGCAAACGGGCCGATGCCAGCAGCAATGTCCTCGCTGCATGGGCGACACGGGGCTGGTCTGCAAAGTTCGAACCCCCGAAACATAAATTTAAATGCAATCATGGCACAGCTTCTGAAGGCTGTGTTCGGTCCCGGGAACTCTTGCAAAGAAGCCTCAGATCGAGCTATGTCGATGCGTTTTGGTGTGTTTTCGTGAAATTCATTGTGTTCCCGAGGTCTCGTGGACTTCTGCGCTTTTTTGCGCTTTTCTGCGCTTTTCTGCGCTTTTTTGGTGTTTTCCAATGGGTTTCGTGCGCTTTTCTGCGCTTTTCTGCGCTTTTCTATGGTTTTGCAATTGATGGTGCGCGTTTCGTGGTTTTTCGTGGAAGGCTGTTGCTCTTGTTGGTTTTGCAGCTTTTGACTGTGGTTGGAAGCGAGAGGAGCGGAGAGGAGGGAGAGGGAGAGGGAGAGAAGAGGGGAGGGAGAGGGAGAGGGAGAGGGAGAGGGAGAGGGAGAGGGAGAGGGAGAGGGAGAGACCCACACCCACCCACACCCACACCGCTACAAAACTCCCGAAAAGCAACCCCCCTCTCCCGGCCCGGGAGAGGGGGGTTGCTTTGAGGCATTTTTGAGAGGAGGGAGAGGGGAGGAGGGGAGGAGGGGAGGAGGGGAGGGGAGGAGGGGGAGGAGGAGGAGAGGAGGAGGAGACGATGCGAGCAAGGAGGGGCGAGAGGAGAGGAGAGGAGAGGCTCGAGAGGAGAGGAGAGGAGAGGAGAGGAGAGGAGAGGAGAGGAGAGGAGAGGAGAGGAGAGGAGAGGAGAGGAGAGGAGAGGAGAGGAGAGGAGAGGAGAAGAGAGGAGAGGAGAGGAGAGGAGAGGCTCGAGAGGAGAGGAGAGGAGAGGAGAGGAGAGGAGAGGAGAGGAGAGGAGAGGAGAGGAGAGGAGAGGAGAGGAGAGGAGAGGAGAGGAGAGGAGAGGAGCGAGGAGAGGGAGAGGAGAGGAGAGGAAGAGGCGAAGCGGAGCGGAGCGGAGCGAGGAGGGCAAAAAAGAAGAGAGCACTCACACAGTGCAGATATGTATAGTGCAATCCGACTCAGCCAAGGCACTTCAATCGATCTCGGAGACAATCCTGAGCTTTGGGCTGACTTAAAGGGTCCAGGTTTAGAGTTGCAGTTGTCTCGTGGATGGCTGCATGCACTGCTGCAAAGCTAATTGGAGAAGCCGGCTTTTTCCTGCACCAAAGCTTGCACATGTGGGCCGGGTGCGCACTATTTGTCGTCGTCTGATGCACTGCTGCTGGAAGCGTACACTGCGGAGCCGAGGACCAAAGTCGAGGCATTGGATGGCGACCGAGATCTGCGACGACGTCGTGCCTTGGCCTCCACTTTTTCACTGGACTGAGTCTTACCCTTGTCCTTCTCCGCCAGAATCTCCATAACAATGCGCTTCCTTCGGAGCTCCGCGGTCTCACTCTGCACATCCTCTTCTAGCGGCTCACTCTTTACTGCAACGACTTCCTTGTCCTCCTTGCCCGAGGAGGATGCTGCCGCTGCTGCCACTGTTGCCGCTGTTGCCGCTGCTTCTGGCTTCTGTGGCATGTGCTTCGACGACGGCTTCATGGTAGCACAAAGATCGAAAGGGGGATCGACAGGGCACAGCTATTCTTGATCCGGAACTGAGCGGGCATGTCACATCTGCTGTTTTGCTGAAACGTACCTGCAATTATAATAAAGGCCGAGGTTCCCATTGGCCTTTCAGAACCACGTCTTTGGACCGGAGGAGGTAGTGGCCGCATTCCGGTAGTCCAGCCTGGGATGATTAATTAAGCATAGACGATATAGATCAGAATCACAGCTTTTTCAAGTATTGAGCCTAGAGGCCTCCAGGCTCACCGGGCAGCTCCAGGCACCAACAGACAACCGGTCGGAAAATAATTCATAATCCGATTTGCCAAGGTCCACATCGGTGTGACAACGAGGTCCTGGCATCTGATCCTTGGCACATAAAGAATTATGGTGGATGCCCGCATCGGAAGCAACAAGAAGCTCTCTTTGCGGTTTGGAAGCAGCATGGTTCAGCCTGTAGTGCGTAGCAAGGGCCCTCGCGAACTTTTCCGTGTATTGCCTAAGCTTGCAAGGACACATATAAATCATTTCACCTGCCACGGTCAATCATGCTAGCATGACAATCCTGATCACACACAGCCTAGTCACTGGGAATCTTTGAGCAGCTTGGGCAAGCCAGTGAACTTCTTCTTCACACTTCGCCCATGTGCACTTCTACTCTGCGAGTGCACTGCAAGCTTTATTGTCTTCATCTTTGTTCTCTCCTCTACACTCAGATATCCTGCTCTGGCCACCAAGGCTTCAACCAAGCCTTGCCAATTCGACAGCAGCATGTGCCTCTTCAGCGAAGGGCTGCCGAATCGAATCATGTAGAAGAAGCCCTTGAAGACCTTGTCCGAGTTGGTGGGGTTGTAAACAGGCATTAGAATGAACACATTGTATTGCATATTCATCGAGGACTGTAGGCATGCCTAGTAGCAGGGGCTCTTTCCAGCAGCCATTGAAATGCCGGGTGGTCCACAAGACATGTCTGCGAGGGCTGCTCCAAAACCCATCGTCCATTACGAGCACAAATGACCAGGATAATCATCGCTACTCGTACCAGCAAAACATTCCCCACATGCACGAAACCGTAGCCCTCGTTGCCCTTCGGCGTGATATGATTTCTCCCGGAAGTGCTTCTTGACCTCAGAGAAAGGCAGACATACACCGTATATAGATTGCATATTGGCATGCACTAAGCACAAACCCCTAAAACATTGCACCAAGCCACATCACTGAGTAAGATGCACATGGGAGGCCAATGACACAGAGGCCTGTATCCATCTTGAGACGACGAGCTTCATTCAGGGCCGTCCTTATAGTGAGAACACAGGTCCAGGCTCCCCAACACACATGTAGACTCACTTCACAGCTTTCAGTCTAGTCTAGTCACAGGAAGCCAGATATGCTCATCAAATCATGGCCCATCGGATCAGTTTCCAAATCCAGGGATGTTCCAATCAGACCCAGATCCTGAGGGAATAGATCTTCGGTTGATTTCGGATTCGAAAGACTCCTCCTGACAATCCCAGGTTCGGTGCGGAAGCTGGCGCCGACAGAATCGCAGCCAGAGAAAAGGTGCAAGAAATCAAGGTCCTGTGCGGGCTCATCGGAATTCTGGTAAATATCTTATAATCTAGATGGGAGACGTGGCAGAATGCATCATAGAAGCAGTCCTCATTTTGTAGGGCCTTTTCGTGAAAGGCCAGGAGCACCACACACATGATCAATTGCAGCGGGGCACCCCATCGTAACAGCTCTGCTACGACCATGGCCACTGGTGGCCCCAGCTGTGATCTAAAGCGTAGCAGCCTGGAGCCCTGTGCACAGAAAGAGAGTTTGAATGCAGAACATGACAGGCTCAATTTGGTATGATACACAGAAAGCGATTTCAGGCTTTGAATGATGCCGGGCACTTGCAGCTGGTCTCAGGTTGTCTCAGGTGCATTTCGAATTGTAGACCAGAATTTACACTGCAGAAATTTGCACATGGATTAAAGCTGCAGAGCCTGAAAGCTAAATGAAGCGTCGTCGCTTCAATTCGTTCTGCGACAAGCCTTCCAGCCAGGAAGCCCTTGCAGAGCTCTGCTTCCACTTTTGACAAGCTTCCTTCCATGAGAAGCCCCGGTCGCGCTTCTTTGCAATAAACCTTAAGCGAGCTTCTTTGTAGGATCCAGGCACATATGCACAATCCGCCGTCATCGTCCTCTTCATGCGCTGCATGGCCTCGGTTTCCTCGCCCTTCTTATCTGTGCTGGGATCTTGTTTCTCCTTCTTGGGGTCCTTCTTCGCCTGAACCTTTGAAGCTGTGCAATTCTTGGAGTCCTGGGCCTTCTTCGCTTTGGGCTTTTTGGAGGCTTTGGCCTTCTTATGCCCGTCAGGATCCTCCTCATCGCCATCGCCGGGTCCATTTGCAGCACCGCCCTCATCATCTTTGGCCCACCTAGCTCGACTGCAAAATGACGACCCACCCGCAAGCAACCCAACAGCAACATCAACACAGTTCTTGAAATTGACATGGAGCACAACACTATTGAAAATGCAACCGAGCAACTGTACACTGGGCAGGAACGGCTTTGCGGGCTCCGAAGGTATCAAGGTCCGAAGGCTATCCAGAACCTGCAGTCTCTATATTTAGCAAATTGAAATCACAACAGGCATCCCCCCAATATTGAATACACATCAGACAAGAAGCCTTCTCGGGAAGCATCTTCTCCTCAATATCCTTCTGGACACCTTTCTTGGGCTTCTTATTTTTCGAAACTGCTTTGGGGTCCGCAGCTTCTGCCGTCGATGCCGCAGCAGGCTCCTGCTTGGCACACTTGGCTTGCAGCCTGGCCAAGACCATCCTCGGATATAGCATTGTTCAAGCTGATGAAGACAACACTCGGACTGTTCAAGGCAGCATGCCAGCATCCACCTAAAACTAACTATTCCACGAAAAGGCTCTGCATCTCACCAGTCAAAGCTGGGATATGGAGCGGCGGGGTCACCACCGAGCTGGAGCTCTCAACCTTGTGTTCATTGGAGTGCAAATGGCAACACAAAGAG